TAATGCACATACATATTAATAAATAGAGTATTATACATGTTTCTATTATTGTTCTTATTGTATGTGTATTTCTGTTATAACTTACATAATGTAAATATGTTCTTAATGTTAATGTTCTAATTTAACTTTTACATATTAAAATATATCTAACTTTCAAAGTCAAATTTGAGGGGCAGTAGTGTTTAGTCTTCAATATAAAATGCAAAAACTGTGTGTCTGTCTGTGTGTGTTTAAGTAATGTCACAGAAATATAAGCTCCATATTTTGGGAATTTTGGAAATTAAATTGTTTTGAAGGCCCTTGTTTTGTATTTTTAATTATATATTTCATTCTATCGTATATTTCTTCATCATATTTTCATTTTAAACTCATATAATCATATACAGTACGCCCTATTTGAAAATTAATATTTTTCAGGGAGTAAAGGTCATATTTTGATTGATATAAAGTTGGTTTTATATTCACACATTCAGACTTTCTGCTTAATATAATTTCAGAAAAGTATTATTTACATGTCCTTAATAGTAAAATCATATTAGCAGCCAATGACTATCAAAATAAAGCATTATTTACAGTGAATTAAATAGTGCTAATGTTGTTTAAAGTCATGCTTGCATGCGATTTCATATCCAGTATTTAAAATATAGCGCAGTAAACAATATCTAGACTGTCTCACAAATTGTCACTGAATGAATGTGCCAATAAAAGACTATTTCACCTCAATTTCTTACTGTATGTTTGTATTTCTTTAATATATTTTTTAGTTTTTTAAATATATCTAACTTTTAAAGTTGTCATATATTTGAATGCCAGTATTGTTAGTCTTCACTATAAAAACACTAAAATGATGTGTGTGTTGAAATAATATCACAGAAATATAAGTTGCATATTTTGGGAACTTTGAAAATTTGTTTTTTTGAAGGCCAATTTTTACTATTTGGGGTAAAGTTGGTTTTTATATTTGCACATTCAGACATTTATCCTTCTTAATAAGATTACAGAAAAGTAATGTTTGCAAATTGTAAGTAGTGAAATCATATTAGCAGCCAATGACTATTAAAATACAGTGCTAATGTTGCTTTCAAGTCATACATACATGTGATTTCAGATCCAATATTCAGTATAGCGCTGTCAACAATATTTGGACCGTCTCACAAGTTATCACTGAAAGAATGTGAGAATATAAAAGCAATGCCCTCAATATATACTTGGTTATTTTAATGAACACCCCAGTTTGAAAATGAATATTTTTATCCATTTCTCAGTGAATATAGGTCTTATAATTTTGTGCATTTGAACAAAACCGATTTATTATTTATTAAAATATTTTTGTAGTCATCAAACATCTTTAGAAATGTTTACATCTTTAGTTTTTTTGTCAGATTAGCTCTAGTTTTAGCTTCATTACTGCCTGATCTAATGTATGTGCACACAAATAATATTATAAAGCATTCATTTTCTTTTTGGCCCAGTCTCTTCATTAATCAGGGGTCGCCAGAGTGGAATGAATCACCAACTTATCCAGCATATGTTTTATGCAGCGCATACCGTTCACTGAATGCGTGTTTGTGTCTCTTTCTTAATGTTTTATGTATTGTGAGCATCAGGGTTATTAAAGTAAACTGAAACCATTTTGTTACTTGAAATAAATTAAACATTAACTGAAAAGTGTATATCAATATATAAACCTTTAACTTGCTTTATTGCCAAGGAATTTTTCCATTTGACAAGCTCTTAGTGAGTGCGCGTAACCGTCGTAAACTATTGATTTTCAAGACAGCCTCGCTGCAGTCAATCACCAGCATTTGATCCGGTCACGTTAAGGATGCCGCAGATTTTCTAGCTCACTGATGTTGACAAGATTATACCCTTGAGTATCGAAATTTGGTACCGAACGAAAAATAATTTTTCGATACTCGATAGTAGCAAGACGATTCGGTCGGTGCTTAAAAAGTATGAAATTCGATACCTGTTATGTAGGTGATATTGCCATTGTCCCCAGTGCCATTAGGTGGCACCCACATGTTACTGCTTATGTTTGTGTGCTCTTGTAAATAAAATAGTGAAGAAGTTAAGTACTCCCGTTGTAGCTGTGTTATTTAGCATAGTGCATTCAAGAGTGTATTTTAAATGTTATGATAGTGAGAACATAACATATTTGGCGACGAGGTGGATTAATTTATCCATGGACCTACCACAGTGAATCGTGAGTAGATAGGCGCACCTGAACTTTATTTTCTCTGCGTAGCAAAAGTGAGCTAGATTAGCTAGAATGGCTGCTACTACAGGCCATATGGAAGCTTTTGAGGAAAGCGTGGAACCATGGACCACCTATATTGAGCGATTTGAGCACTTTGTAGTAGCAAACAGCATTAATGCTGACAAAAAAGTGCCTGTGCTGCTCAGCGTGATCGGAGGGAAAACATACGGATTGCTCCGAAGTCTGATCGCGCCGGACAAGCAGGGAGAGAAAAGTTTTAAAGAGATCACAGACACGCTACAGCAGCATTTTTCTCCGAAGCCCCTGATCATCGCGGAGCGCTTTCGATTTCACAGGCGGAATCAGGAGGAGAGCGAGACGGTGACACAGTATGTTGCAGTGCTGAGAGGATTGTCTGAGCACTGTGAATTCGGGGGTCATCTGGATGATGCACTATGTGACAGATTCGTGTGTGGTTTGAAGAGTGAAGCCACGCAAAAGCGCTTGTTGACTGAAACTACACTGACGTTTCATAGAGCGGTAGAACTGGCGGTGTCCATGGAAACAGCGTCACGCGAAGCGCATCAACTCAGTGGATCACTGACGGTAAACGCACTGTCTTTTACAAAGATTAAGACTGTAAACAAATGTAAACGATGTGGAAAGAATAACCATAGTGATGAAGATTGTTGGTTTAAGGACAAAACTTGTAACACGTGTGGGAAAAAAAGGCCATATCAGTCACGTTTGTAGAAAGAGTAGCGATGATAGAAAAACAACCAAACTACAACTAAGCAAGAACGTCCTCTGCAGCGCCTGCAATGGTCAGGGTGGAAAAACGGGCGCTGTGCAGAAGTGCAGCACATGTCGGGGCCGTGGCATGAGGATCATGATCAGACAGCTGGCTCCTGGCATGGTCCAGCAGATGCAGTCCGTCTGCACCGACTGCAATGGAGAGGGTAAGGTGATTCACGAGAAAGACCGCTGTAAAGAGTGTGACGGTCGTAAAGTGTGTAAAGAGGTGAAGGTCTTGGAGGTGCACGTGGATAAAAGAATGAAACATGGACAGAAGATCACGTTCAGCGGAGAAGCAGACCAGTCGCCCAATACAGAGCCTGGAGACATTATATTGATGCTGATGCAGTATCTAGCGGTGATGATACAGACAATGATTTAGCTCTGTATAAACTGTCGCAGCCAGGAGAAAAGTCCAGTATCATGGTGAAACCAGAAGTTGAAGGACTGCCACTTGAAATGGAACTGGACACAGGCGCAGCAGTCTCTTTAATTTCAACAGAGACTTATAATAAAATATAAAATACTGAAACATCTGCCCTTATGCTCAACTGACATTGTTCTTCGAACATACACAGGACAAGCATTACGCCCTGAAGGTGTAATTGACGTTCATGTAAAAATGGGGAAACAGACAGCTGTTCTTCCATTGTATGTGGTGCAGGGAGATTATCCACCACTTTATGGCAGAGAATGGCTGCATCGGATTAAACTTAACTGGAAAGAAATAAGAACAGTCAAACTTAAGACACTAGATGGTGTTCTGCAAAAACATACCGCTGTTTTCTCCAAACAATTAGGGGAAATGAAGAAAATAAAAGCTAAAATATCACTGAAACCTGAACATAAACCAAAGTTTTGTCAGCCCAGAGTAGTCCCATATGCCCTGCGTCCAAAAGTTGAAAAGGAGTTGAACCGTCTCACTGAAATGGGAGTTTTGACACCGGTGCAGTATAGTGAATGGGCTACTCCAATAGTTCCAGTGGTGAAGAAAAATGGAGCAGTGCGCATCTGTGGGGATTTTAAAGTGACAATAAACCCTGTACTTCACACTGAACACTATCCGTTACCACGCATCGAGGACCTTTTTGCTTCATTAGCAGGAGGACAATGTTTCAGTAAACTAGACTTGTCCCATGCTTACCTCCAAATGAAGGTGGAGGAGGAGTCCTCAAAGTTCCTCACAATTTCCACACAGAAAGGGCTATTCCAATATTCTCGTCTTCCTTTTGGGATTGCCTCCGCGCCAGCAATATTCCAAAGAGCTATGGATCAAGTATTATTAGGCCTTCCTAATGTCCATTGCTATCTGGATGACATTCTTGTTACTGGGCGTACGGAAGCTGAACACTTGGAAAACTTGGATGGAGTTCTTGGACGCCTGGAGGAGTTTGGCTTGCATGTGGAAAAAGGAAAATGTGACTTTTTCAAGGACTCACTGGAATATTTGGGTCACATAATTGACGCTGAAGGTTTGCACAAGTCGCCTGAAAAAGTGAGCGCAATTGTCAATGCCCCACCCCCATCAAACGTCACACAGCTGAGGTCATTCCTTGGTTTGTTAAATTATTATGGGAGGTTCATACCCAATTTGGCGACTATAGCGAATCCTTTGAATTCTCTGCTGTGCAAGGGAAAGCGCTGGCTGTGGTCGGCTGAGTGCAATGCTGCATTCAAAATGGCAAAGGAACAATTAGTATCACAAAATGTCTTGACACACTACGACCCACAGAACCCAATTCGACTTGCGTGTGATGCATCACCATATGGCATTGGTGCTGTCATCTCACACATGTTACCCAGTGGTGAGGAAAAGCCTATAGCTTTTGCATCGCGCACGCTTAGCAAGGCAGAACAGAATTACGCGCAGATCGAGCGCGAGGCTCTGGCAATTGTGTTTGGAGTTCGGAAATTCCATTAGTATCTCTACGGACGAAAATTCACACTCTTCACAGATCACCGCCCCCTTACTACAATCTTAGGGCCACAAAATGGAATTCCATCAATGGCGGCGGCACGTATGCAAAGGTGGGCATTGCTTTTGTCTGCACACAACTACACTATTGAGTACAAAAGAGCCGAACATCACGGAAATGCTGATGGTCTTTCCCGTCTGCCATTGCACGTAGAACATAGAGAAAAGAACGATGCTGTAGAGCTGTTCTACCTCGGACAGATGGAAAAACTCCCTGTTAGTGCCACTGATATTAGAAGAGAGACTATGAGCGACTTTATTTTGGCTACAGTGGTCGAAATGGTTCTACAAGGAACTCAAGCTATCAGCCTGACAGATAATAATGAACTCTCACCTTTCATCTCCAAACGCAGTGAGCTGTCTGTTCAACATGGATGTTTGATGAGGGGTATGAGAGTTGTGGTTCCACACAAACTACAGAAAAGAGTGCTGGAAGAACTGCACACTGGACATCCAGGAATTGTCAGAATGAAAGCCATTGCTTGTAGCTATGTGTGGTGGCCGCGTCTGGATGCTGACATTGAGTTGCAAGTGAAAATGTGTCAGTCATGCCAACAAATACAGAAAATGCCATCACAAGCACCTTTCCATCCATGGGAATGGCCAAGTAAACCATGGGAGCGCATACATGTAGATTTTGCTGGGCCATGTGAGGGTCACATGTATCTAGTCGTGGTCGATGCGCATTCAAAGTGGCCTGAGGTGCAAGTCATGACATCAATGACAGCAGAGAAAACCATTGATGTTTTGAGGAACATGTTCAGTCATTATGGTCTGCCTGAAGTCATTGTGAGTGATAATGGACCACAATTTGTCTCTCAGGAGTTTGCGAGTTTCCTGAAAACCAATCACGTGAAGCATATTCGTTCCGCTCCTTATCACCCATCAACAAATGGGCAGGCTGAGAGGTTTGTTCAGTCACTAAAACAAGCACTGAAAGTTTCTAAGGGATCTTCTACTCTACAAAAAAGGCTGGAAACATTCCTGCTGACATACCGCAACACACCACACCCAACGACAAAAGAGTCCCCTTCCTAGTTGTTTATGGGACGCCAGTTGCGCACACGTCTTGATGCCCTAAAACCCAGTGTGACAGCAGCAGTGCGGCTCTCCCAAGTATCTCAAATTCTCCGCAGAGAAGGTCGTTTGAGACCAAGACAGTTTGGAGTAGGTGATGCTGTGCTTGCTCGTGATTACAGGGGAAGAGAGAAATGGACATCAGGAGTGGTGACGGCTCAAAGTGGTCCAGTATCCTATACTGTGGATGTGGGTACTTCTGAGGAATGGAGGCGTCAAGCTGATCAACTTTTGTCCATTCCAAAATAAACAGCTGAAAAGCTTTCAACAGACTTGCCTGATAACAAGAATGTGTCTGCCCCTGTACAGACCTCTGCAGATGCCACTTCTTCTGCATCACTAACAAGGGAACAAGATGTTAACAATGACATATCAGAAGAGTGTCAGACACAACATGACATTACACCAACACAGATTAGACGTTATCCAGCAAGAGTGATTAAACCACCCAACCGTCTGACATTATAAGAAAACAGAAGCTGCTGAATTAAGCTATAATTAGTTATGTTAGTGAGCCTGTTCTGATCTGGGGCAGAATAATCCCCGAACTGGCTCGAGGCAAGAGGCAGTCTACCCTCTACCTCTAGAGTAAAATAGATAAAGGTATTATAGTTGTGTTTTTGAAAAATGTTTTTGAGTTGTTTCTGTTTAAGAGGGGAGGAAATGTTATGTAGGTGATATTGCCATTGTCCCCAGTGCCATTAGGTGGCACCCACACGTTACTGCTTATGTTTGTGTGCTCTTGTAAATAAAATAGTGAAGAAGATAAGTACTCCCGTTGTAGCTGTGTTATTTAGCAACATAGTGCATTCAAGAGTGTATTTTAAATGTTATGATAGTGAGAACATAACAATACCCAGCCCTTATTGCAAGGTATTCACACACAAAGTAGGCCTACCTAAAACTTTGAATTAGAAAAAGCTTAATAATACATTGGACAGATCCTCAACGCACTGATTTCTCCTCTTTGTGCTGCTCAGTTTTGAAAGTGTCCGATTGAGTTTCTTCTTCTGAGGGGAATACTTTAAGTGCTGCCAATAGTTAGTAAAGCCTGGCTTATTGTGGTCAAAGTAGTTGATTATATTAATAAAAGTGAAACTGACAGGCGCAGTATGGATTGTCATTCACTGAACTTGTCATTAACTAAACATGATGTAGCCTAATATAGGCTATTCTGAAACTGTGAATATTTTGCTGTCATTTTAATTATATTAAGACTTTATTCAACAGACCAGTTTGTGTTTTGGCGCTAAAGCATATAAGTGGACCTTGTTTTAAACTTTCTCCGTCTCACTCAAAAAAGGAAACATAAGCTGGACCACAACATATATCAATGTCATAATGAATGCTCAAATAATGTAGCCTATAGTTTATAGCAAGCATCATGTTTAGTTAGATTGTGTGTTTGTCAAAAACAGTCAGCCTATAGGTCTGTTATTTTTACTAAAGAAGATTTATCATTTGAGTTTATCACCAGAGCTATAGAAACTGTATTATGCTTAGAAAAAAAAACAGCACAGTATCAGGTCTGTATTAATCAATGCTCAGAATTTTTGGTATCGAGATCGGATCGGTTCCAAAAAAAATGGTATCGGTGCATCCCTAAAAAAAAATAAAGGTACACAAACTGCCATGATGTTTCAAGGGGTTAAAAGAGAACATGGTTGTATTTTTGAGTGCAATATGTGCACTTTAGGTTTTGGTTTTAAGATACTAATGTGGAGCTTTACATACAACGGAAGGGCGCATGCGCACGCACCGACCAGCAGTGAGAGTTTGGCATGGGACTAGTGCTTGTGTTTTGTTTTTTAACACTTTGTTTTTAACAATTTAGACTTTATGTGTCCGCTCTTCTCTTTTTAATTGTTTATGGGATAGTATTTTAATATATTCGTGTGCAATCTATCTACAATGGAGATTTTATTTCTCACGTTGTTATGGGAACCGGTTTATCTTCTGCTTGCTGGTGAATATGCTCACGGAGTTGTTAATCATGGAAGGATACAGTATACCAGGAGCACGCTGTTGCAATTAAACCCTTTAAGGGTAGAGACAATTTCAGACATTTATTTACCAAATGTGGTACGGAAAGTGTCCGATGGAACGCGGGAAACAAAGCCGAAGGCCAAGATGAGGAAGCGAGGTAAGCGAGGGGGCGTTAGGCAACGCTTAAGAAAACAACAGGTGACTCGCACCCCGCTCCCCTCCGTGATCATGGGAAATGTTCGGTCCTTAAGGAATAAGTTGGATGAGCTTGCAGGTAACGTTCGGTTCCAAAAAGACTTTAAGGATTGTTGTGTTCTGGCCTTTACTGAGACGTGGTTAACAGAGAATGACCAGGATTTTGACCTATCCATCGATGGCTTCGGAACACCGTTTCGCTTGGATCAACAGACCGAGGTAACACGGAAATCTCAGGGCGGCGGTGTATGCCTTTATGTCAACAAAAGATACTGCATGGCTGTAACGGTAAGGGAACGCATCTGCACACCAGACGTTGAACTTTTATCCGTGTCGCTACGGCCTATCTATGTCCCTCGTGAATTCCCACAACTCTTCGTTACCATAGTGTATATTCATCCAAAAGCAAATGCGATGTCTGCCTGTGGCACTATTTTTAATGTAGTGCAGAGACTGCAGATGATATCACCTGACGCACCAAACTTTGTTTTGGGTGATTTTAATCATGTCTCTTTAAATAAGACACTTACAACTTTTTATCAATACGTGTCCTGTCCGACCAGGCGGGACAGGTGTTTGGACCTTTGTTATGGATCTGTAAAGGACGCATATAAATCACTGCCACTACCACCACTCGGCTCAGCCGATCATAATTGTGTTCATCTAATCCCCACATATAAAACTGTTTTAAAAAGGCAGAAAACACAGACAATGGATGTCATGGACTGGTCTGATGAATCCGCGCTCTGTTTGCAGGAGTGCTATGACTGTACAGATTGGGAGATGTTTAAACAGTCCTGTGGTGATAATTTTGATATGTTTGTCGATACTGTATGCTCCTATGTGGCTTTTTGCAGAGACATGATTATTCCATGTGGGCGGGTAAAAATTTACTCTAACAACAAACCGTGGGTTACAAAATCAGTCAAATCCTGCATACAGAAAAAGAAATTGTTTTTTAAACAAGGATCTAATTCTGATTTGTATTTGGCAAATAAAGAGCTTAAAAGAGAGATTCTCCTAGCTAAACAAAATTAGAAAACTGAACTAGAAAACAAGATGGCAACAAATAAGCTTGGTTCAGCCTGGGATAGTTTGAAAACTATAACAGGCCTCCATAATCTAAAGAGTAGTAACCAGATTAATTTAGTGGGCTATAGCACTGATTTTGAGTTAGCCAATGCTCTTAACCATTTTTATAATCGTTTAAATCATTTGGATTTTACTAGTGAAATTGAGGAATTAAATAGTAAACTTACAGGTGGACAGCAATTTAATATAAAACAAACAGCTGTGCATAAGGCTTTCCTCTCAGTAAGAGTGAACAAGAGCTGTGGACCAGACAATATTTGTGGTCGCACACTTAAAATCTGTGCAAGAGAATTGAGTCCAATTTTTGAATACATTTTTAATAGATCTTTACTAGAACAGCAGGTACCTAAGGTTTGGAAGGATGCTGTGGTAGTCCCTGTACCCAAATCCAAATCACCCCAAACTTTTAATGAATTCAGACCTATAGCTTTAACATCAATTGTGATGAAAATTTTTGAGAAGTTTGTGAGGTCTGAAATGCTGAGAAGAACAGAGTACGCACTTGATCCAATGCAGTTTGCTTATAGGCCTCATCGGGGAGTAGAGGACGCCACAGTTACTTTGTTTAACCTACTTTTTAAACATTTAGAAAAAAATGGTTCCCATGCCAGACTTCTGTTTGTCGACTTTTCTTCTGCTTTTAACACAATTCAACCTCACATTTTAACTAGATTCTTAAAGTTTGAGAACAAACTTTGAGGCTGGCTTGTGAAAGCCTGACGGTAATAGTTTATTTAGTTTAAACAGTTTTAAAAAGTATGAAAAGATAGATAGATAGATAGATAGATAGATAGATAGATAGATAGATAGATAGATAGATAGATAGATAGATAGATAGATAGATAGATAGATTAGCATGTTATTAGCATGATTTTAACGTGAAATAGCATGTTGTCAGCATGATTCTAGCATGAATTAGCATGTTACTAGCATGATTTTAGCATGAATTAGCATGTTGTTAGCATGATTTTAGCATGAATTAGCATGTTAGCATGATTCTAGCGAGAATTAGCATGTTGTTAGCATGATTCTAACATGAATTAGCATGTTACTAGCATGATTCTAGCATGAATTAGCATGTTGTTAGCATGATTCTAACATGAGTTAGCATGTTACTAGCATGATTCTAGCATGAATTAGCATGTTGTTCCCATGATTCTAGCATGAATTAGCATGTGACTAGCATGATTCTAGCATGAATTAGCATGTTGTTAGCATAATTCTAGTATGAATTAGCATGTGACTGGCATGATTCTATCATGGATTAGCATGTGACTAGCATGATTCTAGCATGAATTAGCATGTAACTAGCATGATTCTAGCATGAATTAGCATGTGACTAGCATGATTCCAGCATGAATTAGCGTGTTGTTAGCATGATTTATAGATAGATAGAGGTAGATAGATAGATAGATAGATAGATAGATAGATAGATAGATAGATAGATAGATAGATAGATAGATAGATTGATAGATAGATAGAGGTAGGTAGATAGATAGATAGATAGATAGATAGATAGATAGATAGATAGATAGATAGATAGATAGATAGATAGATAGATAGATAGATAGATAGATAGATAGAAAGAGGTAGATAGATAGATAGATAGATAGATAGATAGATAGATAGATAGATAGATAGATAGATAGATAGATAGAGGTAGGTAGGTAGATAGATAGAGGTACGTAGATAGATAGATAGATAGATAGATAGATAGATAGATAGATAGATAGATAGATAGATAGATAGATAGATAGATAGATAGATAGATAGATAGATAGAGGTAGGTAGATAGATAGAGGTACGTAGATAGATAGATAGATAGATAGATAGATAGATAGATAGATAGATAGATAGATAGATAGATAGATAGATAGATAGATAGATAGATATAGACAGATGGTGTGCGAGCCTGATTCAAACAAGCCAACCCCCGCCTCTCTAAGATGTTCTGATGCTGAGATATAGCTGCTATTATATCGTTGCTAGGTTAGTCTGTTTTGTTGCTATGGAGTTGATTGACAGCTTAGACTGATGATGTATCAAAGCTTCTTGCCAGTATGAACAGTTAAAAACAACCCCCATGTCTCTATCACACTGCAGCATGACAATATCAGTCTGAACCTCTTTAATGGCAGTCTATGGGACAGTTGCTAGGGTGCAGTATCTGGTTGTTAGGGTGTGGCTAGAAAGTTAAAAGGACATCAGTGATTGGCTGCTGGCTAGACTGAGTTAAATGAGCTCAATCATTAGTCTGTAGGACAGTCTGATGCAGAGTTATGAGCTCACAAAGTTTGATCCCATGCAAAGTCAATGAGAGTATTTTGCAATGGAAGTCTATGGGACGGTTTCTAGGGTCCAAAAGTGGTTGCTAGGGCGTGGCCAGAAAGTTT